ATTTATCATTTCTTTGGTACTTTCCTATTTTCTTAACAAAAAAATTTACTTTAAAATGCAGATGCTAAAGATTATTAGTAAAAAAAAGTGTGAGTTCCGGTCCGTCAGGTCTTGAAATCAGACGAATGTTTTAGATAGTTTTATGTAGTTTTCGAATATATAATTTGATCTTTGCGCGCGACTTTGCAAATATGTGTAATTTTTGATTTTCTTAATTTTTGATTTTCAGCTTCTTTTTGCATAATTTCGCGAAAAGAATTTTTCGAATAATGAAAAAATCTCACCAAACATTGGGGAAAAAGGGAGCATTTACACCTAAGTCATTTTATAGTATTACCTTTGTTTTCTGAGAGTGGAAAGCAGGAAACAAAAATTACCCAAAATTCCATCACATTTAATGACTGGCCCACATTTTTTGTGAGTTTTGGACGTTATAGTGATCCAATCTTCCCCATATTGTATATTCAGGTTTTTCTAATAAAATAAAGGCTACGACTTAATGTTTCCGCCCACAAGAGGAGAGGGCGTGGCAATTATTCCGGGCGGCGGGCGGGGGGTGAGGGTCTCGGGAAATGAGGGAGTATATGGAGATGCTTATACGGGTGAAGGAGGAAGAGTGGAGAAGGTTTGTGGGGGAAAATAGGGACGACCCTTGGGGGCAGGTCTATAGGATCTGTCGCTGGCTCCGAAGTGAGCGTTGGTGGCTACGTGTTAACAACTTGCAGGGAGTGTGCGGGGGTCTTGTTAGGTGCTTTCCTAGTACGGAAGTTCAGGTTCCTCAAGCATAGGTGGTACCTGTCCCTCCACTAGATGTTAGGGAGTTGGGGTATGCATTTGGCATGGTTAGGTCTGGAAAGTCACCGGGTTTTGATGGTTTGAACGGAGAGATGTGAAAATGCTTGCGGCAGTTCATTCCGGAGTACTCGGAGGCTATATATGATAAATGCATGTGTGACGGATATTTTCCACGTGAGTGGAAGGTAATTAGGGTTGTTCCTCTTCTGAGGTCGCCCGATAAGGTCAGGAGTGATCCTCGATCTTATCAGGGCTTCAGTCTCCTTCCAGTGCTTGGAAAGGTGCTGGAACCGGTCATGGTGGAAAGGCTTCAGGAGCTTACTGGGGGTAGTATGTCCGATAGGCAGTATGGGTTTAGGAAAGGACGCAGTATTGAGGATGCTTGGCTTAACGTTAAAGGAGGTGTCAAGAATAGTACCTGTAGGTATGTTCTTGCCATATTCGTTGATTTTAAGGGGGCTTTCGACTATTTACGTTGGGATGGGGTCATTGAGCTACTAGAGAGACTTGGGTATCCAGAATTGGCTTTATGGCGTAGCTACTTCTCTGGCAGGAGAGCCGCTTTAGTTGGGGAGGGGGTAGAGTTGAGGTTGCCCGTGGTTGTCCTCAGGGTTGTCCTCATTGTTCCATTTATGGCCCATTTATTCGGAAGCTCATGATGGATACCCTGCTAAGGCAGAGTGAGTCACTTTGCAATTTTAACGCGTACGCAGATGACCTTCTCATCCTGGTAGAGGGGCAGTCGAGGTCTGCAATAGAGCTGAAGGGAAATCAGCTGCTCAGCGTGGTTAGTGCATAGGGTGCGGATGTGGATGTTGATGTGTCGGTAGAGAAGACAGTGATGATGCTCATCAAGGAAAAATTGTTGCAGGGTCGCCCGCCGGTCATCCGCTTAAACGAAACCAGTCTAAGGTACGAGACGCAGGTGAAATACTTGGGGCTCTTGATGGGCGAGCGGACGAACTTTGGTTTGCTTTTTGTGCACTTTGAGCAGCGACTTCTTGGTGTTGTGGGTCAGGTACGTCGCATTTTGAGGTCTGCGAGGATTCCAGACACGTTGTTTGTGAATTTACGATGTACTCTGACGTTAGGGATTTATCTGGGATGGGGATTAGATGGACTGATGGACGGTGTATTTTTGACGATGGTCTTTTCGAGCCAGCCTGTTGAAAATCTGGGGTATTTGCACGAGAGGTGTTTAGACGAAGAAAGCGTGCAATCAGTTAAGGGGTAAATTGATGGGTGGGGCCGACCAGTCCAGAGTGGTATGGAAATTCAACTGGGAGTAGTTACGGCTACGAGGGCTGACCAGAGACTTAATTCTGGTACCACGGGGAGCAGTTGCCCATGGAGCTTGCTCCAATCTGCTCGTGCGGTTTGGCTCAACGGGGCTGTGGTTTAAACCCAAATGTGGGGAGAGTCGTGTGGCTCGATGTGGAGTTGCATTGCAACCGGGTGTCGGACCCATAGTACGGCAGAGGTTTAGATAGGCCTCGAACCTTACCAAGGTGGTAAGTGTGTCCATTCCGTACTGCCAATTGGTACCGAGATGGTTGCATTTCGGGGCGCCGATCCTCGCATTGATTTGATCCACTGTGCTATTGAGCGCCGTGGAGTAGGACCGGATTCGGCAGGTACCCACGCAAATATTAGCACACGTTGTACATGAAATATTTCGGTTTGAGTTTATTAAATTTAATATATCAATTCAAATACATATTTGTGTGTATATACCTACCATGGCGAGTATCTTCTGTGAATAATTATTTTACCACCGCCATCTGCTATTACGTCGATTTATGTATATTCCGTTTCATACTGCAAAAATTAATATTTCCATTAAAAATAGCTTCGCTTCGGGCTCGTCTTCCCATTGTCATTGTCTTCGGGCTTATGTATAAGTTAGCTAAACTCGACATTTCAGGCAGGTGGCGACCCTCCCAAATATTGTTTAGTAATAAGTAAATCTCTTGCCTCTGACCTTATCGTACTTATTTCATTAACCTACATTATGAATTAAATTTTATTTCATTTTTTTAATAGGTAGCAACCAAGGCACATTGAACAGGTAGTATTTATCAGTAGAGCATCCGATTTGGTTATGTTTCAAATTATTTGGTCTTGAAAATGTCAAATATTTTAAATTTACTGTCACACAAATTCTAAATTGTTAAAATGTAGCAAGTTAAACCTTTTTCCATACAAACTAAGCGATTGAATAGCAGCTTTTGGAACATTCGCCCAACTCAGCAGCACAAGTTTTTGCTCTAGTGCCACTACCTGTTTGATATTCCTTGGTGGCTCCTGGGCATATTTCAGAAATAAGAAATTTTTAAACCCAGTACAATATCTATATATTATTCTGAAACAAGGTGCTTATTCCCAGCGACCTAGAAGTCGTACAGAGACATCATTAAAGTGCTCGATCTTAAACCTTTTTCAGATTTAAGATTTATTGCACCACTTTCGAAATATTTGCGTCGAAAGACTTTAAATTTTTTACATTTAGCAAAGCATTGCTATGGTCATTTCGATAGGCAGAGTCTTAGCGGGATATAAGAGAATGAAAAAATTTTCCATTTATTCGCTTTCGTCTCTGTTTTTGTTTCATATAGATCAAAGCATTGCTACGTTCGAGTCAGGGATGAAGAAGTAGGTACAATTGTGCCTTTTGACGGGTGATGACTTTAAGGTACATTAGGTACAGTCACTCGATTTTAGGTACAATCAGCACGTGAAGACGGCCGGCTATGTATACTGTAATTAAATCAGACTTTGAAAACAGGTGACAACCCTGTTCAATATATTTTCAAACTAAAAACTTGTTGAAGTGAAGCGCGTATTAGCGCGAACCTGACGATGCGAATCCGCAGAGTTAAAAATTACAACTATGCTACCAGCGTTGCCGCTTTGTATTTTTAACCAAAATTGGTAACTTTTTTCTTCTTTATCAAGTTTGGAAAATTGGTAATTTGTTCTTCAATTTGATTACTTTTTATTTCCATTCAGTCCTACTTGTTTTATCAGTAGTGCGGATCCTCTCCTCATGCTAGCCAATACAGGCCTGAACTTTTGAGTAATCATAATAATTTCCAATTAATCGAATAATTGAGTTATTTACTTTATGTTTAGCTGAGGGAGAGCGGGAGACCAGGTTTAGAGGTTTGGTCGAGTTAGAGGAGTAGAGGAGGTAGGGATTACCTTTGTGAGTGTTGAGGTATTGAGCTCAATGAGCCCACATGGTTTATAGGTGCACATCAAGTCAACCACGTACTCCATATGCCTGATATGCGAGAAAGAGAGAGAGAGAGAGATATGCAAGCAGGCTTATGAAGTGGTAGCGCACGATGTGGACCTTCTACCATTTATTTATTGGGGGACTCCATTGGAGGAGTCCTGCTCTAGCTGCCGTAGGCTACTGTGCAATGAGCGGGGATTTATTTGGGGATGCATTAATGCAGAGCCCCTGTGTGGCTTGCAAGCCGTCGCTTACTACCATACCAAAAAATACTCCGGGAGTGGAGTGAGAGCGATGCTTAAAGCACCGTGTGATAGCCAAGCTGGGTTAGCGTTGACCATTGTCACGAGCCAAGCTGGTTTAGCGTTGACCATGGCTGAAAATGCCAGCGACTTATCACTTCACTAAGTTCAGTGAAGAGATATTTGAGAATTGCATAAAAAATGCATACCCAATTAAGAACGAGCTAATTACTTTTAAACACAAGTACGTGTGTTTGTTCGCTGCACTTCGTTTATGGGGAAATGCAATATAAATGCGTGTGGGTGTTCGCTGTTCTTTGTTTATGCGGGAAATGCATAAGACTATGTTCAAACAGGGACCTAATTGGCAATTAAGAACCTTTTCGGCAATTTAAGCCTTAATTGTTATCCAATTTACCATACAAAGTTTCAATTTATTAATTGCCAATTAATACATAATTTGTGTCAAATTCGCTATGCAACCCTGTGAGGTATATTTAATGAGAAGAGCAAAGGGTATGTTTGATGAGAAAACGAAATGTCATTGAAAGGAAATCTCAAAAAATCTAAATGAGATTAAATTATTATTATAAAAAGTAAACAAATAATGGCCGCCAAAATTGATGGTGAGTAAGTTTTAACAAATTTTCCATGATAATATGCTTTAAATAATGCACTTTTGTAGAATTTAATCCATTATAGAACCAAAACTCAAGAGGAAGAGGATGGGATGGAGTGAGGGGGCGGAATTAGCCATACTCGAGCTATGGGCAGACCGAGTGGGGGAGCTCCGTGGGCTGCGGAAGAATGCGCACGTCTACGCGGAGATGGCAGCGAATCTCGCAGAGCTTGGGTACACCCACAATGCCAGGGATGTGCAAGTTAAATTGCAAAATTTTTCGCAGCGCTACAGGTATGTTCATACAAGAATTAAATGCGGGTATAGTTTAGTAATTTTCCCAATGATTTCGGGCTGCTATTGTGTGCAAATGGGTGACCCAACACACACATTTGTAGTCAAAGGTCTAAGCATTATTTAAAAATTAATTTTGTAATTTTCCTTGCCTAATTTATTAATAAATTCGAAGGCTGCCAACACGGTAAGGTGTTTTACACAAAAAAAACTGTTTACCGAGTTTAGANGTACGAGGCTTCGAGGAGTCAAGTATGACTTTTTATAAAGTTTGAACTCTGCTCTCTATTGGTTTCCACGATTGAGAGAAATAGAGGTTGCGCCCATCACGGTACCGCTATTCCTCTCTCAGTGAATTTGACAGAATCGTTGTTTGTATGACGTCACACTCGTACAACTTGTTTACCTTTTCCTTGCAACATTTTTTCTGCTTCTTCCGTTCTTGCTCACGTTTTGGCATTTTTCTCTCGCAGTTGCACCAGTGTGACGTCACACAAAAGTTATTCTCAAACATCCTCTCTGATGGGCGCAATCTTGTATTCTATCATTCTTGACTGGTTTCAATATCAAGAATCACGCCCCCTCTCCCTCCGCCGACCAACCCAAAAACCGTGGGCAAATAACTAAACATTCACCTAAAATGCTATATGTAGAATCTTAATTTTTCAATTAAAACTTGTAGAAAGGAAACGGCAGAAATGGGTCCTTCCGGTGGGTCGCCTTCTACATGGGTGCACTATGAGAGGATGCACCAAATAATTGGAGGGTTCAAGTCAAATCTGCACACGGAGCTCACGCTTGAAAGCATTGATGGTACGTATGTTTTTGTTTATTTGGAATCACTTGCATATACATACATACGAGTACATATCGTCCCCCGTAAGCCAAAAAAGTGAATGTGCAAAAATGAAAATTTTGGGAAGTTCATGTAATTAGCATTCTGAAATATGTGCTATCCGTGTATGCATTGTATTTTTGGTTTACTTATAACGTAGAACATCCAAAAATTAATCCAGACAACACAATAACTCAAAATATGGTAAATTTGCACATTTATGTTTCTGGCCCATACAATTTTGGTGTGATAATGTGCAAATTTTTTAACACAATAGGGCTGTTCAGGATGTTGTGGAAATGGTTTTAGATTTGCAGTTGGAATTGCAATTGCAATTTTTTTGCTTGCTGCCATGGCAACCGCGTGCATTTTATTGTTGTGAATTTACAAATGTGCAAATCCAAGAGCATATGGCCAATATCCTGAACAGCCCTAATTTATTTTTATATGGAAGAAACCCGCAACACCTTCAGCGGGAAAAAAATCAGCGGTAATTTTTAGCAACTTAAAACTTTCACTTTATTGTTCTTAAATTTAATGGGCCACAACACTCCGCACTCGAAAATTTCCTAAAAAATCTGATTAAAATTTTTATTGCCCGCAGCTATATAGGGCACTCTCGTAAAATTGCCAATTCATTAACCTTTTTAACACGTTTCTTTATCGTATCGTTACCTTAATTCACAAAGGCCCTAAGCAATACTTTTCTAAACTGGGGTTTTCACACATTTTGGTAGGATATGTTAAACTACACCTTCAATACAAATTTTAAAGTTTTAGCATTAAAAACAACAGAGTTACATGGTACTTTTTAAAAGGTCCTACCTGTTTTTGATACACCTTTTATATGGTTTTTTGCTCCTGTAAAATAAAAAATTCGTTGGTTTTGACCTTTGTGAATTAAGGTAACGATATACAATAAGCAAAAATCTTTTCATTTTACAATTAAAAAACGTTTCATTGTATTAAATTTTTAATGTTCACAAAAATGTTTCTTTCAAACAGACTCATCAAAAGCATCGTCATCCACTGCATCTGTACCGTCCCCAGGAACACCGTTGCCATCACCCTCGTCGCCACTGCCCTCACCAGTACCTTCAACATCAGCGTCGGCTGGAACAAACAAGAAAATTTAATTTTCAAGAAAAATTATTAGAGAAGTTTGACAATTTATCGTCGGACATTGCCGAACATCTGAAGAGAACTGAAGAGAATGAAAAGGAATTAATAGATATTGAAAGAAAGAAAGCAGAGGTTCAAGAAAGAATCGCAAAAGATAATGAAGAAGTAAAACGAGCCTTAATATCTTTTTTAAATAAGAATTAATCTTGTATTTAAATAATAACACTACACTGCGTTGCATAATTATAAGACCGCCACATATTAACAAGTTTTGACTACTTAGTTTTAAATTATTTAATTTAAATTATTTCCTATAAAATCATAGTTCATTCTATAAAAAACACGATACAAATTCACACTTTCAACTTTGTGCAAAAATTATAAAAATTTTGCAAATTTTCTTAAATATTTTTCTTAAACAGTTTTTGGAAAAAATTTGCGTATGCAGTTTTATAGCCCATTGAATTCTAGTACAAGAAAGAGCAAGTTTGGAGTAGCTAAAAAACACCGTTGATTCTTAGCAATTTTCATCCATCATCATCCATGTTATCAACATTTTCCGACCGGATTAGGGGTTTAAGAGCTATATGCAAATTTTTTTTTAAAGAGAATTATGAATAATTTTTTAAGCTAGAGTGCCAGTTACTGTCGAAATTCGAGAGTTTTTCTAGTTTTAGAAGCCTTGGAGAGGTTTTCTAACTTAACACGTAGCAAAACTTATACGGTACAAATTAACCAGCCGGAAAATCTTCTGCTTTGGAACTAAAACGTAACTAAAATTTCTTTATCTGTAAAGGTCTTTGCAGGACTTCGGCAGGACTAGGAATTGACCCGATACATTCAAGTTTATCGATAAATTTCAATGATTTGATACATATCGATAGTTCGATGAATTTCAAGAACACTAAAATCAACAAAATTCGTTAACTTGACCAATTTCGATAACTGTGAAGTTCGAGGGCTCGATAAATTTCGATAACTCAAAAATGTAAATTCTTTGGATACCTTTATAAATTTTTACTTTTGACAGCTCCACATTTTTCGAAAACTATCTAAGCATTTTGATAACTCGTTGCACTCTGTTAACACGATAAAATTCGATAAGCAGTGATAAATCGATAAGCTTATATAACCTTGAAATTTCGATAAATCGATATATTTTGAAAATTCCATAAACTTCGATTCGTTGAACCAACCAATTTCAGTAGATCAATAATTATCGATGACTCTTTTGAAAGGACTCCATGAATTACGACACCTCGATAAATTTCGTTAAGTCTATATATAATGATAATTCAATAAATATCGATAACTTGATACATTTCTTTAACTTGACAAATTTCGTTAATCCCACACGTTTTTATAGCTCCATAACTATCCGTAAACTTGGACAACTACGTTTCTGTGTCTATACTCAATCTCGACAACTCAATAAAGATTGATCAGTTTGAATAATTCGATACGTTGCGATAACTTAATAAGCATGGATAAATTTCTATAATTATAAACTTACGATTCGATCAATTTCAGTAACCTTTATGGCTGATTTTATTTCGATTCCTATCGGAAAATTTCAATTCTGTTACCTTAATTCTTATGTATTTCTCATTGTATCCATTTTCGCCTTTATCTCCATTTTCGTCTTTATCTTCACTTTTGCCTTTTTTTGTCTTCATCGTTATCACTGGTTTCTTCGTCTTCAGATTTATCTTTATTTCAAAGTTTAATTTCAAATACGAAGTAAAACAAAATGCGAAACAGCTTAAATGGAACAGGTTGCAAAACAACCATACACAATATGGAAATTTTTAAAGGACGATTTTCAACCAATTTTGAAACTATAAAAACTCTCCTCATCTACAGAAAATTACCTTTTTAACGGTGTTTTTGGTTTTGAAATCGGTAATTTTACCTTGGTCTTCATCTTTGCTTTTATCTTTCACATCTTTGCTTATATCCTTTTCTTTTGCTATTCACGTAGATGAGATGAGGTGCGATGACGTGATAAGATGTGGCGTGATTTTATGTGATGTGATAGGATGTCATGTCATTTGTTGTCACATCCTCTGATGTCATGTCATATGATGTCATACCATATGATGTCATATCATGTGATGCCACGTCATGTAATGCTATGTCATGTCATATGATGTCATACCATGTGATGTCAAGTCATGTGATGTCATGCCATATAATGTGATGTCATATCATATAATGTCATGTCACGTGATATCGTGTGATGTGATATCATATTATGAGATGTAAACTCATGTGATGTCTCTTCATATCATGTGATAAAATGTGATGTGATGTCATGTAATGTGATCACATTCCATGTTCCGATTAGTATATCGATAACCCTGTTGATAACTGTGTCGATAAAAATACCGATAACAATATCCATAAACATATAGAAATATAAAACGATTGTAAAATCGATTAATTCATCGATAAATATAACAATCAGCAGTATCGATTATTGCACATATCGTTAACAATATAAATGACTAAATCGATAACAAAATCAATTATTTAATCAATTATTATACCGATAACAATATCCATTATTGTATCGATAACAATATCGATTATTATATTGGTTATTATATCGACTACAGTACCGGTTATTTAATCAATAACAGTATCGATAACAATATCGATTATTTTATCGATAGCAATATCGATTATTATATCAATAAAAATATCGAGTTTTATATCGATAACAATATCGATCTTCATCCTCATCCTTTTCTTCATATTTATCTTTATTTCTGCATATTCCTCTTCACCGTTACCTTGAAGTGTTTAAATTTACCTTGATCTTCGTTTTTGCCTGTATCTCTAGGCATCTTTGTTTTTGTTTTTATTCTCAAACCGCTAAACCGCTGAGAAGCATTTCCTGTTCATTATTCCCCTTGAATTTGACAATTTACTCCCAACCAACCAACTGCCTAAAGAAGTTTCACTTCATAAATTCAAGAAATGGTCTTACCCTTTCAGTTGCCCTAATTCTTATTTATCCGTCATTGTCTCCATTTTCGTCTTTATCTTCACTTTTTTTGACTACATCGTTAGCATTTATTTCTTCATCTTCATATTTGTCTATATTTCAAAGCTTAATTTCGAATGTGAAGTGAAACAACATGCGAAACATGTCAAATTGAACATGTTGCAGCAACATCTATACACAAATCGGAAATGTTTAAACGACGGTTTAGGCCGTAATTTTCAACCAATTTGAAACCATAACAACTCTGCTCATCTAGAGAAAAACGCCTTTCCAATGGTGTTTTTGGNAAGTTGGCCGTAATTTTCAACCAATTTTGAAACCATAAAAACTCTGCTCATCTAGAGAAAAAAGCCTTTCCAATGGTGTTTTTGGTTTTGAAATCGGTTGGGTAGAATCGCCAAACGAACGGAGACAAAATTTATGTTAGCGTATTAATATATAGAATTAATATAAATTACATTGACTGCACTTTTCGTCACCTCTTAAAAACAAAAATAAAATATTTTATCGCAAACACTGTTCTATTTGCTTTTCACTTCATATTCAGCTTTGTCGGAAATTTTCACACTAGTAGTGATGTTCAAATGCCACAGGTAAGATTTATGTACGTCTGTAAACTTCTTGAATTAATAAAAGAAAAAGAAAAAACAATTATTAATTAATTTCCCAATGCTTTTACTTACCAAAATAAGAACACAGCGATTGTCTTATGGTTTCAGCTGAGGTTTCGTTATCGCCAAGTACAACATTTCGCGAAGGGGTTTCCCGATTTCGGTCAAATTCTTGCAAATTTTCCAACCAAATTTGATTGATATGATCATTTTCTTCATTTTAAAAATTGTGTAAAATACAGCAAGCTCGAATAATGATCGGCGCGTTCTCTATTCGGTTATCTAAGCCTTTTCCAATGAGACGAAAGCGGGCTTTTAAATGACCGAAAGCGTTCTCTACCACTCTTCTGCATTTTGATAGTTTGTAGTTGAACAATTTTTGTCTCTCCGTCAAGGCCGTAGAAAAGGCATATGGTTTCATTAAAGTGGTGGAAAATCTAAATGCAGAATCTCCTAAGATATAGACCGGCATTTGTACACCACATATGCTCTTCTTATTGGCCGCCAATACTTCGTCTTCAGTTATCACGTTCTTAAGTAGGGATGAATTATATATTTGGGAGTCATTGCAACGTCCCGGAGCACCAATATTTATATATAAAAAACCGTATCTGTGCATATAATATATTGTTATTAAAAAAAGAAATAAACGGTAACAAACAAATATATGTGCTTTGTACCTGTAATCCACAAGCGCAAGAAGTACCACAGAATACCATCCCGTATAATTGTAGTAGTCGGTTGCATCAGTCGTATTTGGTTTTACTTCGATGTGACATCCATCTAAATTAATGTCTACATTATTTTAATAATAACAGGGGAAACCTTCCATTTGCCTACCAATTGCTCCCAGACATTGTGGAAACCCAAGGCGATGAAAACCATTCACGCATTCAGTGACTACATCTTGCGTCGGTGGTAATTTCTCTGTATACTGTGTGGACATCGCTTGCCATACTTCTTCGCAGAATTCCATCAGTATTGAACACACAGTTGATTTTCCAACCCCAAACAGTTCAGAAACTACTCTGTATTCTCCAGCTGAACCAAGAGCAAACAAAGTGATTGCTACTCGTTTTTGCAATGAAATTGCCGTGCGCCAACTTGTATCGGCTTTCTTTAAATTGCCGAGAAAGCCACAGAGTGTCTCAAAACTGGCACGTGCCATGCGAAAATGGGTCTTGAAGAACTGGTCATCATTGCAGTTGCAATTGACTTCCCAAAAAAAAGATTGTCGATTCTGTTAAAAGGAAACGTTATTGNAAAATCAGCTGCACGTGATAGTAGTTGGTTGAATAAGGAAAGTGAATTAGCAACAAGAGTTTACGGGNTAGCAAGGAGCAATAGCTGCTGCCTCCTTAAACTTTGAAGAATTAGCAAGTTATCCCTCTTTCTTTTTCGGAACAATGCAAGGCTACCATCAAAACTCGACTGTATTGACTGGGAAACTTCAATATATTTATTGTAAGCTAATAAAACTCGTCCTAAATTAACCTATTTCTCCATTTTTCTCACGGAATTTACACAAAAAATCAAAACAATTTCAGCTGTCAAATAATAATTATAATGGCTAAATTGTATTTGTTTGAACACCATGACACAAT